AATTGTAATTATCTTCATTCTTCCATTTTTATAGTAAAATGCTTTAATTTTTTTTAAAATATTCACTCGTTTAATTGTTTGAATGGGCTCTATATCAGATTAATCAGAAGATGATGAAATCTGCAGTGATCAAGGACTTATACTCTGAAATTGATCGTCTTAAGCAAGGTAGGCTACTTTGATGCTCTTCCAGAAAGGATCCTTTATTTTGCTACAGGCGTACTATAATAAATGATTGACTTGCTGAATAATATGTTTGATCGCACAAATGTTTTCATATGTTCATTTAGAGGTATATGCTGCAAGAGAGAAAAATGGAATCTACATACCACGAGATCGCTATCTTCTTGAAGAGGCTGAAAAAAAGGTTTGTGCTTCTCATCATAAAACTGCACCAGTATTCTGTAGAGCGAGCTTTCCATTACGAAGATATGTGTTACTAAATATTCTATGGCGGTTAACTTGGTCCTCTATATCTCTCAGGCTATGGCTGAAAAGATAGAACGGATGGAACTCGAAACAGACTCTAAAGATAAGGTCAGTATTCAATCAAGGATATGTTCCAGCACCACTAAATGCAGTCTGATGGCACTAAACAGATATATGGGTCTTGATATCTGAGCAGCAACTCGTGGAGGTTCAGGAGCTCTACAATTCTCAGCTACTTTTGGCTGCAGAGATGAGCAATAAACTTGAAAGAACTGAGGTATCACGCATTTATCTTTTATTTCATAGAATCAATATATGCCTTATTGCTTTGACCTGTCCAGGACTTGATGTTCTTGTTCAACTTACAGAAAAAGCTCGAGGAAACTGAACATTCACTTTTTGATCTTGAGGAGAGGCACAGACAAGCAAATGCAACAATAAAAGAGAAGGAATTTTTGATATCGAATCTCCTCAAATCTGGTAAGAAAAAGTATTCTCTAATAATTAGTTATCTGGACAAAGTTACCTTTACAATTGAAAATCTGCATTGAGATGGGTCATTTGTCTAAATGAGCAATCTGTCATCTATTCTTTGTTTCCAATTACGTATCATCTCCCTGCATTTGATGAGTACACTTGTCCAGATGATTATATATGATTGAGCATCCATTTTCTATTTCAGTTGAGTTTCAATCGTTTACGCAAAAATAAACCTAGAATGGTTTATTTGCCAGTCTTATTTTATTAGGAAGATCTGCGAAAGAAAAATTGTTAGTCTGCTAAAATTACTTTACCAAGGTTAATCAAAACGACGGTTAAAATTTATTGAAGGGAAATCCTCTCTTCTTCATAGGTGGTTCAGCAAACTTGTCTTCGTTCTATTAGATCAGTTGTGCTGTTGTCTATTTCAATTGAAGGCTTCTAGCTCTGATAATGTGCCGTCAATTATTATCTGGTAGCATTTCAAATATTATTCATTGTCTGTTTTCAGAAAGAGTACTCGTTGATCGTGCATTTGAGATACGAGCGGAGTTGGTGAATGCCACATCAGATGTTTCCAGTTTATTTGCCAAAATCGGTTGGTGGCGAAGTTAGCTTCATTGTTCTCTGTAGTCTTGTAACGTAGACTGTACTTATTGGAGACATTGGTTACAGAACGCAAGGATAAAATTGAAGATGAAAACAGAATCCTCATCCAGAATTTTCAATCCCAGCTCAGTCAACAGCTTGAAGCATTGCATAAGGCTGTGGCTGCTTCTGTGACACATCAAGAGGAGCAACTGAAGGACATGGAAGAAGAAATGCAGTCCTTCGTGTCAACAAAATCAGAGGTTAGATCTAACTGGGCGAATGCATAATTTCTTCGTCATTGTGACTGAGCTAAGTGAGTTACATGGGATTTGATCTTTTGTAGGTCACTGAACAACTTCGAAAACGACTAAGAAGACTCAGAGACGTGTATGATTCTGGTGTAAAAGCATTGGATAATATAGATGGGGAGCTTGATGAGAATTCTCAATCCACTTTTTCAAGTCTCAATTCTGAGGTTTCTAAGCACTCATGTGGACTTGAAGAAGTAATTATCTACTCCATAATTGCCTTCTTGGATTACACCTTCCTACTGTCTACTGTGATCTGATTAACCTTCATGCGCACGGTGCAGCTCTTCAAAGGAATTGCTTCGGAGGCTGATACACTACTAAATGATCTTCATGATAGTCTTCTCAAACAAGAGGAGATGCTGATATCGTATGCACAGCAACAACGCGAGGTTTTTACTTTGTTGCTTAGGCTTCAATTCTCAATTAGCTTTAATATTTTAAATTTGTAATATTCACTTTCTAATTGTAATGGAACAGGCGCATGCCAGAGCAGTGGACACTGCAAGATCAGTTTCTAAAATCACAGTCAACTTCTTTAAGACTCTGGATATGCATGCAACCAAGCTAAACCAGATCGTGGAAGATGCACAAACTGTAAATGATCAAAATCTGTCTGAACTTGAGAAGAAATTTGAGGTGGTGAATGTACTATATTCAAGGTTCCATGTATATTAAAGAAACAGAAAACCACCCGAATACGACTAATATTACTTCCATTGTGGTGCTTATAGGAATGTGCTGCCAATGAAGAAAGGCAAATGCTAGAAAAAGTGGCAGAGCTGTTTGCGAGTTCAAATGCAAGGAAGAAAAAACTGGTACTAGCTGACTATAAGTTCAAATTCGTTGGAAGGACCTTGTTTTCTTCAATTTTATGTATCTATGGATGCAGCACCTCTTATTTGCCGACAAGTATCAAACATGTGATTCTCTATTGACAGGTTCAAATGGCTGTGCAAAATCTTCGGGAGAGTGCAACTAGCAGAGCTGCCAAACTGCAAGAAGAAATGTCAACTATGGTAGATTCCACTTCGACTGTGAAGGCAGAATGGACCGTGCACATGGAAAAGACAGAGTCGCAATATATTGAGGACAACTCTGCTGTGGAAGTTGGGAAAAAGGCTCTGGAGGAGGTGCTCCAGAACTGGTATGGCTCAATGAAGCTAACGCTACTTTAGCATTCTGCGCCTTGATATCTTCTAGTCTTTTCACTTTCATCTTCATTTCCTTTTGTGATTTCTTTTTTCTATTTGGCTTGTGTGTCTTTTTAAGTATCACTAATGGACAACTGGCCGTGCAGCTTTATGAAGACAAAAATGGGTGCAGAACAATGGAAGAATGCCCAAGAATCTTTGATCAGTCTAGAGAAGAGAAATGTTGCTTCTGTTGATTCCATTGTTAGGTAAACTTCCTCCTGGAAACATCGTCATTCTAAATCATAGACAAACTCCTGATTCGTTATTTGGCATTTTTTGCGCTTTTCTCATCAGGAAAGCTGTGGAAGTCAATCAACACCTACGTGCTCAATTTTCTTCCACCTTGTCTGCTACACTTGATGATGTTGATGTTGCAAACAGTGACATACTTTCATCAATCAATGGTCAGTCTTCAGTTTCATGAATGCACCATCTCCTAGTAGTGCAGCCATTTCTGCCCTCTAGATAATTAATCATTCACAGTAAGTGTCCATCTTTGCAGATTCGCTACAACTTGACCAAGATGCATGTGCAAACCTCAAATCTGTAATTGCCCCTTGCTATGGGCATATGGGGGAATTGAAGGGTGGCCACTACGACAAAATTTTGGGGATCACGGAAGATTCAGGGAAATGTCTTCTCGAGGAATATGAGGTGAGGGTTTCATTGTTTACTCTCTCTGCATGTGGAAGCCGCCTGTGCACATTGTGCAAGCAAGCACAGGTGTCTGCTCACTGCTTATTTTTGTTCTGTGCATGTTTGCGCAGTGTATTCGTAACACACGAAGTATCTTTTGCCATCTTTTTACTCATTCACCAGCTAAACGTTTGCTCTGAGCAGGTGGATGAACCGACCTGCTCAACACCAAGGAGGAGACAGTTCAACTTACCTACCATTGCGTCCATTGAAGAATTGCGAACTCCCGCTTTTGAGGAATTGCTCAGATTATTCTGGGATATGAAGTCTTCAAAGCAAGCAAACGGAGACATAAAGTACGTTCTGGGGTTAAATGAGTCTGCACAGTCAGTAAGGGACTCCAGACTCCCACTCACAGCAATCAACTGAGGAGGAGCTTGGGAAGAGGAAGTTGATGATTGTGTGTGTATATAGTATATAAATTCTTTTTTCTTCTTCCCTTCGTTTTACAGACCAAGTTCATTTATTGTTTAGTCCTATATTTCTTTCTTCTTCTTGGAAAAGGAGAAGTATGTACCAGCATGTTCTTTCAATTTTGATGCACGAGGAAATTCCAGTTCCTCTGCATATTATAGCATCTAGTACTAGTTGGTGATCCCTAGCAAGGATTTCTTGCATGCACGGACGGTTTTAGTGGATTATCTACAGTACTCTTTTCAATTTGCTTGCCTTCTTGGGTCTGTCGTCTGTCTGTTGTCGGACGGGAAAGATATCACAGTGAAAATCCGTGGGATTACGCTGCAATGGAAGACTTTTCTTAGAGGCAATCTATTTTGTATTCTCATTGGAGAGTGGAATTACCTATAAGAAAAAAGAAAGGATAACCACCACATGATCATCAGTTATGAATCTTCTGATCCACTTGATCCATGGTAGATCATATAAAGGCAAGAAATTACTTCCTTTTTCTAACAAAATGAGTTGGTATCTGGGACACTTTTGAGTATCTCGACTAACCATTATGAACGTTAAAATTCCTGCCCTCCCCACCAAACAAACGAATTCCGAGCCAGTCCGCCATGAGATCCCACTCAAAAAGGCACGAGCAAATCTCCACAGTGGCAGTCCCTCCAATCTGATCACAGTATCACCCCGATTGAAATGGTAAAGAAAGACCACAAAAAAGACGAATAACATTTTCACTGTTGTCTCATTAACCTGTTGACTGTACAACTATTCGTAATCAATGTAGAAAGAATCAGTATTGCCCGGTTAAAATTGGCAGGCAAAATATGCAACTAATGGCACTGGACATCTGAGGATGTGAACCGAGTGCAGAAAGAAACTCAAAGAGAAACAGTAATCTTCCTTTACCATAACTACAAATGGCATATACTAAACAGTTATCTGCCTTTGCCAAGACGAGGTTTCTCCGTCCTTCAAATTGCTGTGCATCATGGAGATTCTCCTAACAAACTACACCTGCAAATCTGGAAGCTTCAAGGTTTCTGCATAACCCCGGTCACCTCGTGTTAACAACAACAACAATAATTAACTAAGCCTTGTCCCACTAATGACCTCATTTAAGGATGTCAAAAATATTTACATGGTTAAACCATCTCCGCAAGCGGTTGAATACCATGAGCTTTTCATCATGAATGCAACATGTCAACCTTTGTCAACTTGGAAGTGGGCTGGAAGTAATAATATAAACAAATCAGAGAGAAGCAAAAGTATGGATAAGATCAGGTGTATAAGGAAGCTGTAAGCCCGAACAACTCATTCAGCTACTCCAACAACCAATACAGATCAACATGCAAGTTTTGCACCTTCACTGAACAACCACCCTCAATGGCAAAGACCGTGCTTCTTGGCATTGCAGAACCCGAAGGCTGCAAATGCATCAGGGACTGCTTTATTACATAAGTCCCAAAGCAACAGCAAGTACACTAACTGCACAAAGGCACCACGCAAGAAGAAAGGATAGTAAATCACTAGCTTCTTGACACCATGCTAAAAAAGTTCACCATTTCCACCTCAAGATTGCTAAATCTAACACGATGGGTTTGAAATGCAAGAAAGACCTCATAGGTCACACCAGCAGCAATATCGCAATTTTTTCTTCTTTAAAGATGTTGATAAAGAGGTAGTTATCCCTTCTCTACAAAAAATACAATTTTTTTCCAAATGACATCATTCAATTGACACACACACATAGATCCTCATAATCTACACTGTAAACATGAGGCCAATTTGGATCCCTCATAGAATAAATTTAAGAAACATAGTATGATCAATCACTCCGAGAGAGAGAGAGAGAGAGAGAGAGAGAGAGAGAGAGAGAGAGAGGGGCAACAGGACCAAGAACGGGAATTCTTAATCAATATACACGTAGACCAATTGGTTACAGTAACGTTGAGTTGAACTACATAATATAATCTGATATTGCATTGTTCAACGATAAAGGCACTCTGACAACAAAAAGTACCTGACATATTCCTCAAAACAAGCCAGAACTTAAGAGTCCAACTGCCCTATCTTGCCCAAAACTCTCATCATCAAAATCTTCATTTGTGGAATTTTCTTGACACAGCAATTTATTTTCTTGTGTCGGGTTGAAGTCCAGACTTTCCCATCCAATTGACGGACCGTGATGGATATTTGCTTGCTCAGTAGCATTACATAGATCATCATCATCTACATCCTGTCTCATGTCATCGCACACAGGCTCCACTGCTTTGTCATCCTCGGCAAAAGATGGCTCGGCATTAAGATCTGAACACAAATCAAATCCAGTTTGATCCTCAGGTACATGATAAGCGACAGTCACTGTTCCTTGGTCAGATTGCTCTGGAGCATCTTTTCTTGGCCTTTTCCATTTCTTAGTAGATGATGTACCATCATCCTCAAAGTCTTCTTCTTCCCTTTCCCTATGTAAGTACTTCCACAGTTTCCTTTCGCCATCAAACTGTACACAAGGATCACGTTCGTAATGCAACCGATCCAGCGCTCCACTAACAACCTGATTAACCTGCGCATCAGAAACATCCTCAACGATAAACTGGGAGTCTCTGATCAAAGTACAAACATCAGCACGGGTGCCAATACTTCCAGGCAATCTGGCAGCAGCATCTCTTACAAGGCACAAAATAGTAACATGCGGAGGACGATCACGTTTCAGCATGAAATGGTCACGGGCTTTTGATGTTGGCTTACCGCCACACCTTCTCAAAGGAGCAACAATAGACTTTTTACCATCAGCAGCTGTGTAAGAGAATGCTCTGTCAGGAATGGAGTACCTCAAGAATTCTTCTTTACGAAAATAAGCTCTCACTTCCTCAGAATTTGCAGTAATAGTGTTGAGACTCTTCTGGGCTCTAAGGTCGCGAAACCTATCCTTCTCATCCACACTAAACTGCAGCAAGGCCAAAGGTGGGGGAGGAAGACTACCTATTTGTTGCAAGGTTTCTTGACCACTTTTAAGCCAATTTGCGAACGAATCGACAAGCTTGACAAGCATTTTGTGTGGTAGGCCCCAAGCCTCAGGAGAAGTTACTTCCTCAATGGTATCATGATCCGATGGACTAAAGGACACTGGGCCAATCCAGGACCAACTTTTCGTGGATCTCTCATACACTGCTAGGGCCTTCCAGCCCTTGGCCCCTAAAGGTGCTGTTCTCGACGAGAAGATCTTCAAACAACCTCTTACCAAATCCTGAAGTGGCTCCTGTGTCTCAAGAATACAAGGATCCCCAGGGTTTGATCTCACACGATTCACAATCTCCTGGATGGTAAGAGAAGGAACATTACCATCCGCAGCATGCTCTGAATTACTGGTAGCCATGCTCTTCTGAGAGAGCGGCTCATTGTCCCCACCTTCATGTTCCCCATTCTGATCTTCCATAGGTTTGCCAACGGCTATGGAGTCTTCCGGAAGCAATGTAATCATCGCCATTCGAACTGCTGAAAGAAGATGTATTATGGAGAATGAGAAGCCGGTATGCACCGTTGGCGTGATCAAAGTAAATGTCTTTTTCTTTGGTTTGCTCTCAAACTCTACATCTGTAACTCCTGTCTCCATGATGGGCATGTCCGAAATTTCATTTTCTGAAGGACCAATATCAGCATCTGGCTTCTTTTTTATTCGTTTCTTTGAAGAACTGATATCATCATTTTGCTGCTGAACGTCAGCTTGCAAGCCACCATTCTCATTGCAATCGTCCCTGTACACAACATCCTCCTTTATTTTCCGCTTCTTATTCATTGAGTTAGACCCGGGAAAAGTTCCCTGTAATCTTTCATGATGATCATTCGAACATGCTTCAGCTTTCTTACCTTTATTCCCAGATTGATACAACTCATTATCTGGTGACAAACGTTGCTCCATTACTACTTCATCTTCTCGTTCAACGATGTAATCGCCATGGCTCACATCAGCTCTCTGCTTTCTCCCTGATGGGTATGCCTTCAATGACGATAAGTCGTGCCTCTCACCAGGTTCGTCCTGCATTCGTCCATTCTTGCCACGGAATTTCCTCCTATCATCGTCAACAGAACCGTAGAAATATCCGCTATCCATGACTCCAGCAGAATTCTGTACAGAAAGGTTATCTTGCATCTTACCCTTCTGCTTCGCTTTCAAAGTGTAGCTTTCTTCCTCTGGGATATAAATCTGTTCACCCCGATCACCGAAGTTATTATATGTGTGCATGGTGCCCTCAAATGGCCGTGGATATTCTTCTACGTCATTCTTAAAAAGGTTCTCCCTTTTACCATACATCACAGACTTCACCCCAGCAGAATGGGAAACATCCACGAAACCACCTGGATAAGCAAACTCACCTCCCATCAAAGGATCGCTGTCCTCATCATCAGAGAGATCTGATGAGTCTGACTCCGTGACTTCACCATTGACTCCCATGCTATTGCCTCTCAATACTGCCATATCCAGTCCCTTATTCTTTCTAGAACTCCCTCTGCCCTTCCCCTGTGAAAACTTTCCTTTGACATCAGAAGGTAAGAACCGATGGTTGAAACTCGGTGAATAATCTGTAAGAGGTTTCAAACTAATGTCAGGGGATTCCCTCGCCGCACTCCACTTCTTGCTCTTAGCATTACCCTCATCAAACTGCAAATCCGTAGATAAAGCTTCTCCCTTAGCCCTGCGGCCAGAAAAGTCCGCTCGATTTCCTTTAGATGGCGGTTGTCGACCACGGCCTTTGACAGACTTGTTCCGATCTTCAGCAGCAAAACTCTCAATATTTTCAAGGTAGATGGATTTTTTGGCATAGTCTTGGGAAACTTTCAAATTAAGCGGCTTTACAGCTAATGTCTTCATTACTGGAGATTGATTGATAGGCTTACTCCTCCTATAGATATGCAAATCACCCTTGGAGGACAGAGGCAAACCCACAAAACCGTCAGTGGTAAAATCGTCACTTTTAAGAAAATCATGCTTCTTTCCAACTTTTACAAATGCAGGCTTGTCTATCAACATACTCCTCGAGATGCTTGGATCTCTTCTAGGACCTGCACCAAATATAGGATCCTCAGCTTCATCATCACCTCTTATCTGGTCTTTTTTTCTGAGAGCAGCCCCTTTATCAAACCCTGCTGCCTTACTCAGACGAGAAGGAACTACTGGACCGTATGGACCAGCCCTATAATCAGGACCATGGTCACTAGAAGGAAAGCCGCCTGCTAGTTCTTTTGCTGAAGGTGTCTTTGAACGTCCCAACTTCAGTGTCCCCTTAGGATTTTTTCTTCGCTGAGGAGCCACCACCTGCTCTTGCAAGGGATATTCAAAAGCCGGAGCTGCCATATATGGAGAATTACGACCCATTTTCTGTGAGATCTTTCGATCCTTGCCCTTCTTACTCCACAATGCTTCGCCCAAGTCTTCTCTTCCCGACGGATCACTGTTCATGTCTTCTTTCTCAGACATCAAGCTCTTCTGAGTCTTCATTATGTTTAGGACTCGCAACTTCTCTTCGATACTATAACCCCTGCAGTTTTTCCATGCATCCCTTGTCTGACATAGATTACTTACCATGCAGTTCTGATGTTTCCTTACGAGATGGTAGTGCTGCCGCTTCTGAAAAGAATGCAATCCTTCCCGATAAAGGGCAACCCTTGGCTCACACAAACCTCCCTTCAACATGTCAAACACCTTTTTTAGAGGGCTACCAAAATGAATGTTGCAGCCCGTGAAGAGTTCTTTCAAGGTAAGCATGTACGTCTCTTGGTCCATGTCGGGCAAATACTTTGTAAGGCCTAATCTTTCGTCCTCAGTGAGCAACTCGTTCCACACATCAACAGATAAAATATCCTCCAATCCGGGTAGATCATACAGCTCAAAGGGGAAACTGCAGGTCTGACTCCCGACTTGGCAGAACTCTCCCCCAGTCTCGCCCAATTCCAACAAATCAAAGTCGTCGGACCCTGCCCCGGAATCGGCGTCATCGAATTCATCATCCTCATCGGACTCAGCAGCTGAGCTCCTATGCTGAATCTCATCCTCATCGCTCGACATACTCTCCCTACTGACAGGCGAAAATTCCGAATCCAACCGCGACACCTTGAAACTATTCTTCTCAATTGCCATGGCCCATCACATCCAATAACCGCCCAAACCGAAGATTTACCCCACTCACTATCCACAAAACTCCCAAAAAAAAATACACTTCAACCCCGCTAATCTGGCGCCGAAACCATCCCCGACTGCGGCAAGAAAAACGCAAACCAATGCTCAAAATTGCAACTCCAGGGACAAAAAAAATTGAACAAATCGAATACCGAAAGTCGATCAAAGGACACACGAACTGGACTATTGCAAACAACATCCGCAAAAAAATTACCGAATTACGACCAGCAACGAAAACCCAAAGAAAAAGGCTAAAACCCGATCGAGAAGTACCTGATTGGAGATGATGCCGGAATCACGGAGAAGGATACCGAAGCTTGAAGCTTGAGGCGCCGAACGCGGGCGGCGGCGGCGGCGGCGGCGGAGGAGAATGCGAGCAAACCCTAAGAGGCGAGAGGTCGATTAGAAACGCGTGGGCGTGCGCCTACAGAGGAAAGGATACAGAAGACGAGAAACGATGAGGAGGAGGAGGAGGAGGAGGACGACGACGAAAGTCTGGTGACAGAGACATGAAGCAGACGATGGGACGTGGAGAGGCGAGGGCCGTCCGATTGCGGGCCGTGAAAAGACCGAAAAGGGGCAGCCACAGAGGAAGAGAGAGAGAGGGAGCTCCGTGTTGCTCAGTGGAGGAGGAGGAGGAGGAGGAGGTGGTGGAGAGAGAGAGAGAGAGAGAGAGTTGGAAAAGGGTTCGGTGAGAGAGAAGGAAGAGTCGACTCACCGAGTTAACTCGGAGAGACAGGTCGAGTCACTCGCCTTTCGAGGTTGGGGGTGATCTCCGCCGTGAAGTCCAGAGTAGGCTACGTCGTTTTTGCCGTCCTTACGGGGCTGTCTGTTTAAAAAAGAAAAATCCATTTTCATGAGATTAAAAAGTTACGAGAGCAAAAAAGAAATAATTTGGTATTTGGCAAATTGTGCTCGAGACAATTAGTTTTTTCAAAATTATCCTTGGATATGAGATTTTTTTTTTAATAAATAGTAAACCGAAAATTCGGTCTATGTTAGAAAAAGGAATCCACTTAAGTCGCGCATGATCGGAAAAATTCTATCTAATTTGAACTTATATTTAGTCCCTTAAAAAATTTTATGAAGATTTTCGAGAGAATTGCCATTCGAGTTGGCTTTTTGTGGAGCACGCTCCGTTTATTTCGCGGGAAATGAATGTGATTTGAAAAATATTTTCCTAAAAATAACTATCTGTATTACTTAAAATATTTCATCAATGAAAAATGTTTTCATTACCGACAAAAATATACGTCCAAATATTTTTGAGAACGACGAAAATATTTTACGTCGATTCATACAATAACGACTATTTTTGGAAAATATTTTTCAAATTTTTTTATTTTTCATGAAACAAATGGATCATTATTATGATGCTTTTTACTTTTCATATGTTCGACTTATCTGTTTATAAATATATGAGAAAACTCGTGTACAGAAAAACGAGAAGTTTCAGGAAAAAAATCAGTTAATGCATAATGTAAGTTTATTTACATACATCTTGTTGAATGTATCCAAACAAAGATATAAACAACACAGAAATTTAATGAGAAACTAACAATTTTGATGAATTAAGAAACAAATAGAAGGCGTGAAGTCATCAAATGGCTATCAAACAATTTAAGATGACAAAGCATGAGGTATTCTTACATGTCTTGAAATTGAAAATGAATTTATATTAGATGAACTCTTTCTAGAAAAACGTTGGCAAGACAAATGAATGAAATTTTGAAATATTGCATAATTTAAAAGTGACCATCTTGGAGGGTAGGGGTGAGCAAGTTCCGGGGTGGGCTAGTCCAACACTTGACCGAGAGACCAACACCTGGCGCAATGTTGGTCCCCAATTATTGGGACCAAGGATCGACCCTATTAACCTTGGGACTGAGGACTGGACCGACCCTGTGGGTCCGGTGTGGTTCCTGGGTGAAGCCGGCACCAACCACTTCTTTTTTTTTGTTTAATTTTTTTTTGTCTCAAACGTACTCTTTGAAATTACATATCCATCGATAATGCGATATGAAGCAACCGCAGTGAACACCAATACAAATCAAACAGAAATCTAAGATACGACAACAACATGAATCTCCACTTGCCAAAAGCAACAAACGATAGAAAATAAATACTAAAATACCTTAATTATAGAACTTCATATCTTGTTCATTCATAAAAGATTGCTTCAAATTCTGAACATCTGAAAACAAAACAAACAATAAAATAGTCAATACCTAACAATATTTTTAAATTGAAATTAATATTAGTGCAATTGATAGAACATCTCACCACTAATATTCATTCAACTTCAACATGTAAACCCTATTTATCGATGGTAATATCCTCGGTAAAACAATCCATGTCTAAAAAAAAAGTTTGTTCATTAAATTTACAAAGGAATTAACAAGTAAAAAATATATGCATAACTTACACTTACCCAATTCAAACTTTGGCCATTCTCAATGTAATCTTCAACATTAATAGATTAATCTAATTCAACCACCAACTTGTCTTCAACATTAGTAGACCAGATCAACAACTCGAACTCGTAGTTGCCTCATCGTCTACAACCCTCGAATTCACCGAACTCAGAAGAGAAAATCACTAAAACCTTAAGTCTAACTTATCCAAAACACGGAGAGACATCTCCGTCGCCAATCACAACCAAGCGAAACACTCCATTCCAACAAAACTAAGCCCGTCGTCCACAACACGGATGAATCGACAAAAAAGAAACAGATATGAAGCAGCCAAATGGACACACCTGTAATAGTGGAGATATGGCCGATTCAGTCTTGAGAGGCAAAAGGGCGAAAGGGAGGGGAAGAGAATCGATCGCTAACTTCAATACAATAAAGACGAAGAGATTGCTACCGAAGAGATGGACATGGAAAATTTCGGCTGAGAGAGAGTGAAACTCTAGAGAGGAAAATGGTGGAAGAAGAGGAGGGGCGCATATAATTATATACCTAGGGTTTGGGAAAAAAGAGAGATAATTACAGTGTTGGTCTGGGTTGGACCAACCCTATAACTCTAGGACCAGGCAATGACCCGCACAATATAGGTTCTAGCGGTCCCAGGACTAGGGACTGGCCTAGTACCCCTAGGAACTAGATCAGGACCAGCCGGGTTGGGCCGGTAGACAATAGATCGATGATCACCCCTACTTGGAGGGGAGGACATAAACTCTATTCCAGTCTCTAAGCCCAGTAGTCTTTTGTATACAATTTACCAATCCCCAGATTGTAATTTCCAACCAGGACAACATTTATTTGTCAATGAGCCCATACGCAAGCCCATGAAACCAAATATAGAGTTCTTTTTTCGTTTTGCTACCAATAAAAAGAAGGGAAAGCACCACTACAAATCCTAAAAACACCCATTGTGACGGAGTTTAGGATTTGTTGTGGTAAACGAAGGGTAATTTTTGTGACAATGGTACAAGTTTGAGAAAGAGAGAGTAAGAGAGTAAGGGAAACAGGTGTGTGCTCACAGGCGGAGACAGAGTGGAAAAGGGTTCGTTGAGAGTGAAGGAAGAACCGTCTCCACACGTTAACTCGGCAAAATAGTTTAGTCACATTTCATCGGCAGTGATCTCCGCTTTGCAGTCAAGAGTAGCCTACGTAGTTTTGTCGTCGTTATGCGCCATCTATATAAAAAGAAAACTGTATTTTCATGGGATAAGCAAATAAAATAGGATAAAAAAATAATAGTTTGGCATTTAGCACACTGTTTTCAAGAGGTTGCTTTTTAAAATTATCTTTGAAAATAAGTTTCTTTACTGAATATTCAACTGAAACTTCAATCTTTGTTAGAAAAAAAAACTAACTTTTGTGCATGATCGGAAAAATTCTATCTAATTTGAGCTGTTATTTAGTGCCCTCCTTAATAACTTGGGATTATATTACATCTAAATAGTAAATGAAAAGATTTTACGAAAGATTTCAGGAGAATTGGAAGAAATTTCCATTTGAGTTGGCTTTCTATGCAGCAAAAAGTTCTTATTATGGTGTATTTTTTATTTTTCCTATGATCTTACCCATCTGTTTACAAATACATGCGAAAACTCGTGTACATAAAAGACAAGAAGATTATAACGAAAAAAAATCAGTTAATGCATAATGTATGTTTAATTACATACATTTAATTGAATGTATCCAAACAAAGATATGAACAATCAAGAATTCAATGAGAAACTGCCAATTTTGATGAATTAAGAAACAAATAGAAGAGATGAAGACATCAAATGGATATCAAACAAATTTGAAGATTGCCTATTTCTTTATGTTTAGATAACAGAGATTGAGGTATCTTAAAATTGAAAATGAAATTATATTAGGTAAATTGTCACTAGAAAACGTTGGCAAGGAAGCGAATCAAATTTCGAAATATTATATCGTTTCATGGAAGGGAGGACACTGAACGGAACTCAACATAAACTCCATTTCAAGTCTCTAACCTCAGTAGTCTTTTTTATTTTTTATTTTTACAATTTACTAATCTCGAGATTGTAATTTCCAATCACAAAAACACTTTTTTTTGTCAATGAGCCCAAACACAAGCCCATGAAACTAAACATAAAGTTCTTTTTTTTTTTGCTATTAATAAAAGGAAGGGAAAATACCACTAATTAAAAATCTTAAACTTTACTCATTGTGACGAAGTTTAGGAATGTTTCGTGGTAAACTAAGGGTAATCTTTGTTACAATGGTACAAATTTGGGAAAGAGAGAGCAAGGAAAAGAAAAGGCATGTGCTCAGAGGTGGAAAGAAAGTGGAAAATATGGAGGAGATGACTCATCGAGTTAACTCGGCAAGACAATCTAGTCACGTTTCATGGGCGGGGGTGATCTCCGCTTTACAGTCTAGAGTAGCCTACATTGATTTGCTGTCGTTGTGCGCTATCTATATAAAAAAGAAAATTCTATTTTCATGGGATAGTAAGACAAAAAAGGAAATAAAAATAGATTGACATATGGCAAACTATTTTCAAGATGTTTTTTAAAATTATCTTTAGGAAAGCTTCTTTAATAACTACTCAATTGAAAATTCAGTCTATGTTAGCAAAAAAAAAAAAAAACTTAAATTGTGCATGATCGAAAAAATTCTATCTAATTTAAGCTGTCATTTAGTCTCTTTCTCAAAATTTGGGGTAATGGTGTCACAATAGACATAGCTAATGGATTTTTATGACAATACAAATTTTGAGCAATGATGTTACAATGGACATATTTTAGAGTTTTTGGTGTAATTTGCATTATCAATTGGGTGGTTTAAAAAGAAACCTTGAGTTTTAAAATAAAACAATTAGTTTGGCATGTGGTAAAGACTTGTTTTTGAAAACTATCCTTCAAAATAGGCTTCTTTAATAAATACACCAAAAAATTAACTCTATGTTGGAAAAAATTAACTTAAATTGTGCATGATAAGGAAAATTCTTATTAATTTGAATTGCCATTCAGCTTCTTCTTTAATCACGTGGGACTATATTTCATGTACACAGTACACAAAAGGATTTTAAGAATTTCTGTATGAAACTCCGAGGGTAAAATTTTCATTCAAGTTGGCTTTTTGTGGAGTACAAAGATCTTATTATAATGTTTTTTACTTTTCCTATGATTTTACTTATTTGTTTACAAATATACGAGAAAACCTGTGC